CAGTCATTGAAGCCACGTCAAGTGGGTATTATCTGCAAGTGTGGGTGTTCTTGTGCATATGCCCTCTCATCTTATCAACTGGACGTTTCACTCTTCACTCTAGTCCTCTATGGCTACGTCACAGTCTTCCCACACTGCTGGCCAACCAGGTCTCCACCCAGGTTCACAGAAGTCTATTGAACATTGTAGGGCTTAGCTCACCACTTCATTGCTGTTTTTCACTCACTTCCCCTTATTGGTGTCAAGCGTGGTCAACAATCAGAGCATGTATTCCCATTGAGTCTTAGTCTTGGAAGAGGGTTTGCCCTGAGGGAACCTGACCGCTTGCCTTGATGTTTCCTGGGAGAGCAACCTCCTTGTTCTTGTAGTAATCAGTCAGACTGCTGTTATTGTTTTGTATTTTTCCTGTTGGTCTTTCTTTCAAGAAGTATCTTCTGTTCTTCAAGCAGCAACAGGCTAGTCTGCTTGGCCTTTCAAGTGGAAATTTCCCACCTCAGATGATTCTGGATGGGGTTTAGGACTCCACCTATGGTCTTATGTAATGCAGAGGCTCGCAGGAAGCCTCCTTCACTGGGCACATTATAGCCCCATTTTAGGTATTCCAATGGTATTCAATTCCAGAGGACGAACTTACAAGCTTTCTTTGGTGATATTTCTGGCTATTCCTTTCTCTCCCCCTCAAGTGTCTATTTTAGAATGGTATGCAAGGGAAACCAAGATTCAAAAAACAGCCAAGCATCTTAACATTATTTCCCCCTCTTGCCTATTCCAACCATGTCTCAATCCTTGTATCCCAGAGCCCTGTTGTTCCAAGGTTGTGCATCATTATTTACCTCTGTCCCACTTAACCCATGCAAACCTGCCTAATTGTTTTCCCATCCACCTTATTCTTCCATTCCTCTCCCCCTTCTTGTGTATTGCCCCCCTCCCTAGCACCCAAACTATCCTGTGTCTATTTCCTACCCTTTTTGCTTCACCTTTCCTTCCCTCCCCTCCCCCAAATCTCCACATCCCGCTAACCAGAAAAGAATCCCTCCACCCTTTAGTATGTGTTCTTTTTCTTAGTCTTTTACGGTAGTGGTCCTATGCAGTATTTCTCCTCTTGTGACTGACTAATTTCACTCAGCATAATGGTCATCCATGTTATGTGATAGCTTACAGTTTCCTTGTTCTTCAAGGTAGCATAATATTCCATTGTGTGTATGTACCACAGTTTGTTTGACGGGCACTTAAGCTGTCTCCATCTTTTTGCTATTGTAAATAGTGTTGCTATGAACATTTGTGTGCATATATCTACTCATGATATGGCTTGTATTTTTTGTGGGTAAATACCAAATAGAGGAATTTCTGGATCCTAAGGTATTTCTATTTCCAAACTTCTGAGGAAGCGCCATATTGCTTTCCATATATGTAAAAATGAATACATAGAAAAAAGATAAGAAAGGTAATACTCACAAACTAATAATGGTTAGCTGTAGGTAGTAGGATTTTGGGTTAACCTGATTTTCTTCTGTTATTGACATGTATTGTCAAACTTTTCTACATGGTACAATAAGAAAATATAATAATGGAAAGATTTACGAAGGCCATCAATGAAAAAACAGGGACAAATGTGAGGGTTCTAATGCAGAAAATACACAGACTAGCAAACATTTTGAAAACTACACAAACAAAAGTAGACAAAATAGATGAGTGGGTCATACTAAAAATATAAGACTTATGTGCATCAAAAGACTTCACCAAAAGAGCTGTAGGTCTGGTATATGAATGTTTCCTTCATGAGATCCCCCTCCCTTCTCACCAGAGCTTTCCCTACCTCACTCTCCTGGCTGTAGCCCGGAACTGGAAACTCCTCTACAACATTGTCTTTTGATTATTGAGAATTATCTTCAGTAAATTTCTGAATATTTTTTATTAGCCCTGAGGACAAACTGTCTTCCTGATAGATTGGGCTGGCAGAGGGTGTGAAGTGCATAATCTTTCTTAAATAAGCTTTAGGTTCTAGTTTTTAAAAATATTTAATATTTTTAAAATAGTATACTGTTTAGGGTTTCAAAGTGACTCTCAAGGTATATACGAATACTTGAATTGTGAGATTTAGCATCTCATGGACTTTTTCTAATTGTAGGCCTAATTACGTGGAAATAAATAACTTTAAGTGCCAAATCTGAAAAGCTGCATAATCACAGAAGTTTGTCACTTGCTCACAATTGATAAACCACTTGCCTAGTGGTTGCTTTCTCTGATTATTAAACATCGATTACCACCTTATAGGAAAACTGCTTATAGAAAACAGCAGTACAGTCTGTGGTACTTGGGAGGTAAAATCATAATTTATTAGATAGTATTTCCAGGTAATATCTTATTCTTGACAATGTTCAGGAACTGTCTCTGAAACATTCATCAAAGCTAGTTTCCAGACAAATACGCTAATATTCTTTCCTAAAAGCAAAAACTAAGCTGGGATAGGTCAGTCATTCAACTGAAGTCACCAAGGGCTTTGTTGTTGAGTGCCTTCGAGTCAGTTCCAACCCATAGCAACCATGTATAGGGTTTCCAAGGAGCTGTTGGTGAGCTTGAATTGCTGACCTTGTGGTTCAAACCAGGTTTGCAGGTCAGTGCATTAACCCACAGCACTACACCAAAGGCTTTATTACTGCAACATTCAGACGTCTGGATCCCAGTGTCTCAGCTCTGTCACAATGAATTAAAGCAACCGTACCCACAGTTCTTGCCTCAGAAGACTTCCAAGATACAGGTCCACCCCCAAACCAAGGGCTGCTAGCACTTACTTACCATCCTCTATCCAGTCAGTACCCTTCATCCTGAGCTCACTGTGATCCATGTACTTGGATAAGAGCCCTAAATGCAGAATAAAGTCAGTGAGTCTGTGTTTGGCTTCTGTTCTTGGAAATTAATAACTTAACAGTTTTATTGTTAGAAAATCTATGCAGTTGGCAGGCTTAAGTCTTTTAATAATCAGGCAGATTTTAAAAACTGGACTTCCAAGTATCAAGTAGTTACAGATACGTCGTAACATGACTCCTTTCTCCTAAAGGTATTTTCAAGAGCATCTTCACAAAGAATGTGGGGATACTCAACAGCACAATTTGGGAGAGTGTAGGATACAACTGACTGCAGAAATGAAATAAATTTCTTTGTACCTACAAAGAGTGTTGCTGCTCTTCTGATAGGAAGTTTTGCATTCTTGAAGTACATCAATGTTTGGGCTAGTATGTTAACCTTTCCCTTGCATTTTTTTTCCTAAAGTGGAGGGAAAAAACGGAGTATAAAGTCATGAAGTAGCAGCATGACCTTTATCAGCCTAAGCATAGCTTTCAGAGTCAGGGACTACATCACAATATAGAATATAGTGCTTGAAAGAACTATGGTTATTAATGAATATCATGCCACAACAAGAAGTCTCTGTTGTTGCTGTTAAGTGCTGTCCAGTTGGTTCCAACTCATAGCAACTCTATGCACAACAGAACGAAACACTGCCCGGTCCTGTGCCATCCTGACCAATATTGGTATATTAGAGCCCACTGCTGCTGCCACTATGTCAATCCATCTCATTGGGGGTCTTCGTCCTTTTCAGTGACCCTCCATTTTATCAAGAATGATGTCCTTCTCCAGGCACTGGTCCCTAGACCTAGTTAAATGCTCTGAATATACTTAGCTCTCACCCATTCATGCTGCATAATGTGCCCGTAAAGCTGCTAAAGTAATCTTCGCTTCTCTATCTAACCTTCTCTGTTCTCCATGTTTCACCTTATGCTCTGCCTCCTATTAGCCCCTTCCATACTAGTCTCTCCTATCTCACCTAACCCTGCTTGAGTGCTTCACAGGTACTCTTCTGTTGGTACATATTTCTCACCATGTTTCTATTTCATTTTCTAGGGATGTTTTATTTTGTATACAATTGCTGGCGG